TGAGAAGCCTTCTCAAACAGTTGTATGATTCTGTGGGAGGGGCACCCATGTAAAAGCGGATCCCTAAACCCCCAAATTTACCATGACCTGGGTAATAGGCATATTCAGTGGGAGGATATCCCCGTCATCATACAGCCAGTCCCACACGGCTCTCATATTTATGTGGATAAATGCCACTGTAAGACCTGTTTGCCTTGAGAAGAGAACTGCCCAACTCTGCCTGTAAAATGCCAAGTGGAGCCCCCCAGATGAAGCGGTTGATATGCTTCTCATAATTCCGGAGAATTCCTGAGAACTCTCAAGAATAAGCTCCTGTGCATTTGGCTCACATACACTCATCAGTGATCGCCCTATAGAGAACTGTGGGGCCTGCATCAACCCAAACGACCTCTTAAATTTTGTAGCATTTAAAATTAAAGATTTTTGTCATTAAAGTAGTGATTTTTGCAATAAATTACACAAAAGGCTTCTCAAGAAGCTGATGATACCAATCTACAAACTGGAATAATTCCTTTATATTATTCCTTGTAGCTATAATTGGTACGTGGTTTTGCCATTCCCCCGCATCGACTGTCTTCTTGGGAACCACAGGTCTCAGAGTTAACTTGGATGTAGGAATAGGAGGAAGCCAGAGGGGTAGCGGGAAATCAGGCATGAAAAGCCCCAGGCCCCACCTGCACCTCCCTCCTGAGCCCAGGACTAATTTCAGAGAGCAGAGACCGAACCTCCTCTGCCTATCATATCCCTGGGAGCCACCTCTGAATCAGCCACCACTGAATCAGCCATCACTGCACTTGGAAAGGGTAGGACTCATGCCAAAGATGGGACACCATGCCGACATTATCTTGAGACCCAAGCCGACATTATCTTGTGGCAGAGGCAAGACCACCACAGTTTCATGGTCCCACGAAACTGATGCACCTGGTGAGCCCCAGAAACGCAGCACACAAGGAGTTTCAGAAGCTGCCATTCCCATGTCTGACCACGCGAGGGCGGCGAACCCTCAGATTGGGCCGCTCCCTTAGGCGGAGCTGTCCTGAACTTAGACCCAGGGAAGCCGTGAAAATCCACTGGGCGTCCCAGGGCAGCACTGCCCTGGGAGCTGCAACTCGAAAGCATCTGGCCCCGGCCCAGAGAGCTCGGGGCCAGGCCGTGTTACGCAGCTGGAAAGCGTGGACCCTTTGGCGGCGTGGGATAGGGCGAGTTTGCCCGCAGAGCCAGCAGCTCGCCCCCGCCTGAAATTCCAATTCTCAGGGACAGGGATGGTGACACCTGAGGAAATTCCTCAGCTACAAAGCATCATGTTTCACCTTCTTGGGCCAATTTCTTCTGTAAAAGGGAAATGGTACTGGCATTCATAAGATTTTGCAGGATCAAAGCAGAAAATCATTAGGAAAACACTTTGCAAACTGTAGAGAACATTGCAAATGTTATATATCAGGGGTTTTAAGAAAACTTTTAAATATTCTCTTTATTTGGAGAAAGAGGTAGGAAAATTCTGGAGATATAGTAACGAACAAAATGTACCAGGTGTCTGTCAAAATCTGTCCCTGTGTTTCTTTTTGAAATTGACTTGAATTTTATTTCCATTCTTAGTTGTTTAATATTTTCCTTAATTTCGAAATTACTCATTCTCCATGCTACAGCCAGTGCGATCTTTTAAAAAAGGAAATATGATCTACAACTACATGTAATGAACGGATGAACATCGTAAACATAACGTTGAGTTAAAAACCCAGATAGAAAACAGCATCTGCTGCATGACTGCGTTTACATAGAAAGTACAACAGGCAAATAGTTGGAAGTCAAGATAGTGGTTACTCTAGGGTAATGAGTGGAGGGGGTGCTGGTAATGTCCTATAAAATTCATTGGGTTATACATTTATGCACTCTTTTCTGTATGCATTATATTACACCTCAGTGAAAAGTAAATATTGTATGGGGGAAGGAAGGGAAGCTAATCGTGTCTCCACCGGCCTAAAAGCGTTCAGTCGATTCTGATTCTTCTGAAATTTGTACTCCTTCACCCAGGTCCACCTGGTGTCCCTGGCTTCATCACCAATGGGCTTACCATGGCCACACGGGTCCTCTTTCAGGCCCTCGTGTCACTCTGTCTCATGCTGACCAGTTCTGGCCACAAGGCTGCCTCTTCCATCACTGGGAGCTCCTCCCCACATCGGAGCTGTTCCCGCCACCTGGAATGTCTTCCCTCCACATTCCTGCCAGCTCCTTCTGCTCAGCCTAGAGGTCACTTTCTCACAGAAGGTGTCCCTGAGCCTGTATCTAAATTGCACCCTCACCATGACACAAAGATGTGAACAATAAACACTAAGGATTCCAAAATGGGGGAGGGAGGGGAGCAAAGGTTGAAAAACTACCTGTTGGGTACTATGTTCCCTGCTTGGGCGACGGTATCATTAGAAGCCCAAACCTTAGCATCACGCAATATACTCGTGTAACAAACTTGCACACATACTCTCTGAATCTAAAAGAATTTTTAAAATAAGAAAATAAATTGTACCCCCTTAGTTCTCTCTGAGTACCCTCTTTTTATAACACCATAATTTGTATTTATGGGATGATTATGCTTCCTTATTTGGTAAATGACCTCACCAGCTAGACTCTAAATCAAAAAGGGCTGGGACTGTATCTGACATATTCTCAGTTGTACCAGCGGCACCTAGCACAGCATCTCACGTAAATGGTACTTATTTATGGTTTGGCTTAACTAATACAACAAAAAAAACCTTTGGGAGGGGAGGGCATTCAATCAACAGAAAAAAAAAAACAAAAAAAAACAATGATATGTAGGGGAAAGAGAAACAAAATGTTAACAGGTATTGTATTAGTGTTGTAAGAACATGGGCGTTCTTTTTCTTTCTTTAATATGACCTATTTAATCTCTTACGTTATTTTTATGAGTAAGAAAATAAAAAACTTTAAAAATATTTTTGTACTATTTAAAATTAAGTTTTCATTTAAAACATAGACTTCTGGGTGTATTAGTCCATTCTCCATGGTATAAAGAACTTGCATGGTATAAAGAATTCTCCTGCTATAAAGAACTACTCGACGCCAGGCACGGTGGCTCACGCCTGTAATCCCAGCACTTTGGGAAGCTGAGGAGAGCAGATTATCTGAGGTCGGGGGTTCAAGACCAGCCTGACCAACGTGGAGAAACCCCATATCTACTAAAAATACAAAATTAGCTGGGCATGGTGGCACATGCCTGTAATCCCAGCTACTCTGGAGGCTGAGGCAGGAGAATCGCTTGAACCTGGGAGGCAGAGGTTGCAGTGAGCTGAGATCGCGCCATTGCACTTCAGCCTGAGCAACAAGACCGAAACTCCGTCTCAAAAAATAAAAATAAAAAAATAACAAAACAAAACAAACCTACCAGAGACTGGGTAATTTATAAAGAAGAGGTTTAATTGGCTCATGGTTCTGCCAGCTGTACAGGTAGCGTAGCTGGGGAGGCCTCAAGAAACTTTCAATCATGGTGGAAGGCAAAGGGGAAGCAGACAGGTCTTACATGGCAGGAGTGGGAGAAAGAGAGAGGGGCGAGGTGCCATACACTTTTAAACAATCAAATATCATGAGATCTCACTATCAGGAGAACAGCAAGGGGGAAATCTGCCCCCATGATCCAACCAGCTCCCACCAGGCCCCACCTCCGATATTGGGGATTACAATTTGACATGAGATTTGGGTGGCAACACAAATCCAAACAATATCACTGAGTAAAGTGCAGATGGCAGGATAGTTATACGACAGAATGTTCATTCTCCGATTTGAATTGGAGAGGAGAAAAAAAAAAACAGGCAAAAAAAAAAAAAAAATCAGCAACAGTAAACCACCATGGGAAACAGTAGAACCTCATTCCATAAACTTCAAAAAGCAGTAGCAACAGAAAAATATAGAAATCCTGATGTGTTTCATCACGGGTCCTATCCCCAACTGCTCTGTCCCAGAAGAAGTGCAGGAGAAAGAGGAAATAATACAAAAGTCCTGAAAATTCTCACCAGTTGTTCCAGTTAGCTGCCTAACAGGATCCATACTTAGTGGCATAAAACGACAACTATTTTCTGATGCACGTGGATTCTCTAGGTCTGGAATTCAAGCAGGGCTTAGTTGGAGAATTCTTTTGCTTCTTGTGGCCATGTCTGAGGTCATTCTGTGGTACCCAGCTGGGCTGGGCTCCATCCTGGAGGACCCAGGATGGCTTCAATCACATGTCTAGGGCCTTGGCAGAAAGGCTAAACTAAAAGGCTAAACTCAGCTGGGACTGTTGACCAGTGTCCACTGCATGTTCTTTTCAGCAGTGGCCTCTGGGTAGTCAGACTTTTCACATGGACATCAGCATCCCCCAGAGCCAGCATCTCAAGAGTGCAAGATTAAAGCACAACCTTTTTTGACCTAGCTTCAGAAATCACACAGCATCTCTTCCACTACATTCTGCTGATCATGATGGAGACAGCAAGGTCAGCCCAGATTCAAAGAGGGGATTGACCCCAATTCACAATGGGACAAGTGCCAGAAAAATTGCAGACGTGTTTTTAAACTGAGACAGAGTAGTTAAAATTTTCCTATATGTAAAATATAATAACTTCCTCCAAGACCCCCCGACCTACCCCTGCTGCCCTACTTCCCACTAAAAAAATAAAAATAAAAAAAATAATAAAAAAAAAATCGTGGCCTTGTGCAGTGGTTTATGCCTATAATCCCAGCACTTTGGGAGGCTGAGGTGGAAGGATTACTTGCATCCAGGAGTTTGAGACCAGCCTGGGCAACATAGCAAGACCCTATCTCTACAAAAAATAAAAAATTAGCCAGTCACGGTGCCACACACCTGCAGTAGTCCCAGATACTCAAGAGGCTGAGGTGGGAGGATTGCTTGAGCCTGGAAGGTCAAAACTGCAGTGAGCCGTGATCATGCCACTGCACTCCAGCCTGGGTGACAGAGTGAGTTTGTCTCAAACAACAAACAAACAAACAAGTACCTCATCCTATTTTGACATCAAACTCAGCTCCAGTTTCTGGAGCTTATCTACATCAAGTCCAGCTGCAAAGAGGCGTCTTGGGGTCTGTTCCATGGGTAGAGTTTCTCTTCATCTGAAAACCTGTGAATTAAAGAGACATGCTTTCTGCCTCACATGCTCCCAACCTGCAAGGGCGAGATTGGCACAGGAAACCACTACGTTCACTACTGTTTTAAAAGGGGAAGTTCAGAGCAATCACTGAGCCCTGGCAATTCTGAAATTGAATTGTGTACCTGTTGCCAGAGGTTCAGTCCTGTTGCCTGGGTTCTTGGCTCCACTCTGATTCATACTTGCTTTTCCATAAGAAATGGCTCTTGTTTACAACTGAGTAGGCTTCTTGTTCTGTGTCTTAACAGAATACCTGAAACTGGGTAATTTATTAAAAACCAATTTTATTTCTCACAGTTCTGTAGGCTGGGAAGTCAAGCCTACAGAAAGTCAAGGGGATGCACCTGGTGAAAGCCTTTTTGCTGGTGGGGACCCTCTGCAGAGTCCTGAGGCAGTTCAGGACATCACATGGTGAGGGGGCTGAGCATGCTAAATTATGTCTGTCTTCGTCTTATAAAGTCACCAGTCCCACTCCTGTGACAATCCATTAATCCATTTATCCGTGAATGGATTAATCCATTCATGACCCAACCACCTCTTAAAGACCCCACCTCTCAGTACTGCCACATTAGGGATTAAATTTTAATATGAGTTTTGGAGAGGAGTGTTAGAAAACTGCATGCAAAAAGTCAAGATGAATCTCCAGAAAATTCAAGTCCCTTGTTACTACCCAAGCTCTTAGGATCTCAGCAGAGATAAAAAGTCCACCAAGGCTTGCCATTCCCCAAGGCTCAAATTTCTCATTGATTGACTGATCCAAAGCTCCAGGGAAACTTTCTCATAAATGGAATAACCCGTCACTAGAGGAAGCCAACAACTGTGGTTCCAGGAACTTAAGAAAATCTCCAGAAAGCAGAGCCCAGACTGCCCATCATAGTCAAGAGACATCTCCAATAGCATTCCCTTCTTCCCTCAACTCCATGACTTTAGGCTCCACAGAAGTGTATAGAAGCAAACTTCAGACTGCAATTTGGGGATAGGGGATGGGAATAACAATAGAGCTCAGATATGATGAGAAGGAAACCAAAGAGAATATACTGACACCAATTAGAATAAGCAAAAGGACAGGGCAGAGTTGCCCAAACTGAGCATGAGGAAGATGAAGGGAAATCACAGAGTAGCTATGCACCATACTACATGCAGTTATAAGGAAGAAAGAAAATAAAGCAGGGACGGAGGGGAGAAAGGAAAAAAAAGAAGAACATTAAAAAGGAAAGGACATTGGAGAAAGGAAATAGACACAAAGAACTCAATTCAGAAGAAAATCTGAGAAGAGGAAAAATTTCCAGGAGAGCTTTCAGCTTAAAAAACAAAAACTTTAATAAAATAAGACATTAGGCTGGGCTCAGTGGTTCAGTGGTTCACACCTGCAATCCCAGTTTGGGAGGCCAAGGTGGGAGGATTGCTTGAGGCTAGGTGTTCAAAACCACCCTGGGCAACATAACAAGATTTCATTTCTGAAAATAAATAAATAAATAAATAAATAAATAAATATTTTAAAATAAATAAAAATGTAAAAGACCCTTAAAATGAGTATTAAGGAAATAAATTGAAGATCTAGGTAACACCACTTAAAAAATTGCAAATAAATTGAAAATATCAAGGAAGAAACAAGTCAGAGCTACAAATCAATTTACTAGCATGGAATTAAAGTTAGGGATAGTAAATACCAATAGCCTGGGCCAGGCGTGGTGGCTCACGCCTGTAATCCCAGCTCTTTGGTTGGCCAAGGTGGGTGGATCATCTGAGGTCAGGAGTTTGAGACCAGCCTGGCCAACATGGTGAAACCCCATCTCTACTAAAAATACAAAAATTAGCCAGGCATGGTGGCGTGCACCTGTCATCCCAGCTACTACAGAGGCTGAGGTGGCACAATCACTTGAACCCAGGAGGCAGAGGTTGCAGTGAGCCAAGATTGCAACACTGCACTCCAGCCTGGGCACCAGAGAGAGACTCCATCTTAAATAAATAAATAAATCTCAATAGCCTAGAAAGAGGAAAAAAAAGTCAAATTATTTTTTTAAATATTAGTTTATCATGTGTCAGATATTAATTATTGACATTAATTTAAGTATTTTAAATATAGATATAAGTTGACTATATTAATGAATACTATCCTATAAGGTAGTATTGGGGAAAGGGTTAACTCAGCAGGTCTGGGTTGTTATAACCCTACACATTCCTAGAAAGGTCTGCTTTCAGGACTGATCTTTGGCCTCCTCCTGGGAACTGAGCTCATAGACTCTTCTGGATGATGAAAGTGAAAGTTTTTTTTGCATGCCTGGAGCCTTGGGCCACACTGTACCAGTTAGTCCACATAGTGTACACTAGCAATGATTTATGGTGAATGCCCCCTTTTTCTCTGGGGGTCTGGAGCTTTGTTAACTGAGGTAGGTCATGCAGGCAGTGTATGCCTATGAATGATCCTCAGCAAAAAGCTGAGATGCCCAGGCCTGGGTAAGCTTGCCTGGTTGACAACACTTTGCATGTGTTGTCATGCATCATTGCTGGAGAGACTAAGCACATCCTGTGCTACTCTCTAGGGAGGAGACCCTCACAAGTTTGCGCCTGGTTTCCTCCAGACTTCATCCTATGCACATTTTCTCTTTGTTAATTTTCTTCCGTATCTTTTTGCTGTAAACTTACATATAACAACAATTTTATTCTGTGTGTTTTTTTTTTTTTTTTTGCTGTAAACTTACATATAACAACAATTTTATTCTGTGTTTTTTTTTTTTTGCTGTAAACTTAAGTGTAACAAGTATAAACTTAAGTCCTATGAGTCCTTTTAGAGAATTAAACCTGAGTGTGGTGTTGGGGACTCCAAACACAGGTAGTTTCCACTATTATCTCCAAATAGAAACTGTAGTACATAGATATTAAATGCCTTGTGCAAAGTCATGCTGATATTGAATGGCAAAGCTGGAATTCAAATTATCTGACTCCAGTGCCCGTGGTTCTAACAACTACTTACAAGTGAAGATAATCTGACATAATTAATGTCTCTTCAATAGAAAAGTCCACAATTGAAACAGAAAACTTATTCAAAGATATAATACAGGAAAATTTCCCTTTTAAAAAACATGCAGCCTGAAAAAGCACTCCTTTTCCAAAATGATGCAGAATGATATCAAAATATTGTTAAGTTACTGAAACTTGAGGATAAGCAATGATATTTTTAGATATTCATGTAGGGAAAAATGTCACCTTTAAGAGAGAAAAACATTCAGGCTGCACCATAACAACATTCACTGGCAGAATTCAGTGAAGCTAAGTCCACAACTGTCCTGGAGAAAAGAAAATATGATCTAGGATTTTTTTACCCCATAAAATTGTCCTTCAAGTATAAAGAACATATGCAAAAATTCAGGGAAAACAATATCCATAAACTCTTCATTTTTGTAGAATTATTTTTGTTAATCTAACAAAATGCTGATGAGGTTATCCTGAAGTTACTGATAGTTGCTTTATATGATAGAGCATTAATATCCAATATGGTAGCCACTGACCATATGCAACTATTGAGCACACGAGGTATGGCTAATATTAATTGTTATATGCTATAAGTGTTAAAGTACACACCAGATTTCAAAGACTTAATACAAAGAAAAGTAAAATATTGCATTAGTTTTTATTTCATATTAATGATATATTGAAATGATATTTTAGATATACTGCACTCAGTTAAATAAACTATAATTAAATTAATTTTACCTGTGTTTTTTTTCTTTTTTCTTTTCTTTTTTTCTTTTTGTGAGACAGGGTCTCTTTCCCTGTCACTCAGGCTGGAGTGCAGTGGCACAGTCTCAGCTCACTATTAGCCTCAACTTCCCCAGCTCAGATGATCCTCCCACCTCAGCCTCCCAAGTAGCTGAAACTACAGGCACATACCAGCACACCCAGCTAATTTTTTGTTTTCAGTAGAGACAGGGTTTTGCCATGTTGCCCAGGCTGGTCTCAAATCCCTGGACTCAAATGATCTGCCCACTTCAGCCTCTCAAAGTGCTGGGATTACAGGCATAAACCACTGTGCCTGGCCCCTATTTTTACTTTTTAGAATAGCTACTGGGTTAAAATTCGATGTGTGGTTTGTATTATATTTCTGTTGCACAGCACCATAGTAGACTTTGGGGAGATATTTCACTTGTTTGTACTATTTAGTTTAGTTTGATCTTTTAAAATAAGTATGGTTATTCATATAAAACAATAAACTCATTATTCCTAAATTGAATAAATAAACCAATGGACAAAGAGCTATGCTTTCTCCCCTGGGATGTTGAGACAACTAGCTGGGAGGCTCTGGATGGGAACCAATAACAAAAGAATGGAGAACAGCTGTTCATTGTCCAGCCCACTCCCTTTACAGATAGGAAAACTGAGACCCCAAAGGTCACTTACCACTCTAAAATCTCATGGACTCAAGTGTGCAGTAGATGAGGCTGAAGACTGGCATTTCAGATGAGGCAGGAATACTGACTTAGGGGACATTCTCAGTAGCTCCCACAAGCCCCTCTAAGGTATGTGGCACCACCTCCAGACAAGGAGTCCACTTCATCCCGGCTCATGCCTCTTGCCCAGTGTGCTTCTTCTTCCAAGAAATCAAAAACAAGATACTTTCTTTGGCCTATGGAAATAGGGACTCTTTTTTTCTGCAGGTATAAGTTCCAGCCTCCCAGCCCTGGCTTAGAACTCTCAGCCCTTGGCACCATGGAGCTCAGCAGCTTCTGTGCCCTGCCTTGCCATCTGCCTGGTGGGCATGACCAGCTCAGAAAATACCCCAAGTGAGCTGAGGTGTTATTGGGAAAGAGGACCCTGAGACCCATAGCCTATGGGACAGGGCTGACTCCAACAGGCTACCCGGTCACTTTCACCTCAGGGGGAATCCAAGGCCCAGATATTGAAAGGGCTCACCTGTGGTCACCATTCAGTCTGGGGGAAG